AGAAGGAAGAGAAGAAACTTCAGAACCTTGAAGGGAAGAAGCGTGAACAAGCAGAGAGGCTGGGCATGGGCTTGGTGTCCAGAAGGTACTTGGCTGTGGATGGCATAGGACAGATGGGTGCCTTGGAAGCGCCCTGCTCTGGAAGAGTTTCCTGAAGGCAGTAGCCTGCTGCTCTTGTAACAGATAAGGAGCTGACTTAGAGTGCTCATATGGTTGAGCACTTTATGTCTAAAAATGCTTCAGGCCTCAAAAGGAATGGACACTGTTCAGAGGTTCTAGTTCTCATCTGAGCTTTTCCAAACATGTGGGTGGCCTGTCAGTGTCTAGCCCTAGAGCCCTGCTGCTTGACAGGTGTTCCCCTGCAGAATACTTCTCTTAAGAAGGTGGCTCAAGACTTCTGAGGGAGTTGGGATAAGGTAGATGAGTGATGAAGGGGGCTGGCATCCTACAACTCTCTGTTGGGACTTGTGGTGCCTGCCCTGCCCGTGAAGGCCAAATTCAGCCTTGAGGCAGACTGGTTGTAGGGGTTGGATGCTGTCAGATGCATCAGCCCTGACTGCCTGTTTGTTGTCCTAGTTCTGTTTCACACTCAGTGATGTCCGAGATGCAAGTAATTGAGCAGGAGACACCGCTGGCTGCAAAATCTTCCCGTTCCCAATTGGACTTGTTTGAAGATGCTGGAGGCTTCACATCTGGACCCCCCAAGTAAGACTTAGCTTCAGTGTAGTCTTTGGCTTATTCCCGAATTTAATATCTGGCCTAAATTACCTATTTTTGGTACCTAGGTACAAATATAATCCCTTCTCGTTTGAAGATGCATTTGGCTCACGATGGGAAACAGACTCTTCATGGGGTGTGGACAAAGAGGAGGAACCCGAGGTGACCATTTCCAGTATTCGGCCAATTTCAGAGAGGTAAAGTACCTTGCCACTGCCACCGTACCTTCCTTGTGTGCAGGACAAAGGGATAGGTTTAGGAGCTGTAGGGAGAGATGCTGCTGTGTTATGACAGGAGCCTTGTGCTGCAGAAGATGACGTGGGTGGACAAGACCAAGAAAAGGGGCCTTCAGTGAAAGAGGCTTGAGCACTTCTTTGCCTATCATGTCCCAAAGTTTGATACAGCCTTTATGGTCATCAAGTGCTGGCTGTCCTGATGTGGGGAGAGGAGAACCCTGATGATAGCTAGCACTTGAGGATTTGTTGCTTTCCTTTGATCAGATGGGCTCTGAGACGGAAATCTGTTTCTGTACTGTTTTGGTGAGCTTAAGCAGAGATGTCTCTTCTGTTGTTTCCTCAGACCCACCAGTAGGCGGGAGACAGAGAACAGGACATCAGTTGTGGAATCCAATGAAGCTCGGCAGAAGTTTGCAGGGGCTAAAGCCATCTCTTCAGATATGTTCTTTGGGCGGGAGGCAGATGCTGAGGTAGGTACATTCTGCAGTGCTTAAGCTGGTAGAGCTCTGGCTTCATCTTCTCCTGTTTGCTCAGGTCCTGCTTTGTTCCCTTCCTTTATAACACTTTTATTTTCTGCTGCAGTATGAAGCCAGATCCCGACTGCAGCAGCTCTCGGGCAGCAGTGCCATCAGCTCTGCAGACTTGTTTGGAGAGGCTGAGAATGCACACTCAGGTTTGTTAGCACTCAGGAAGGGGGCAGCTTTAGAGGACTAGAGGGAAGGTGTCAGGGTGCTCTCTGGAGCTGGGGAACTCCAGGCTAACTCCTGCTTGTTCTTGTAGGTGGCGTGTCAATTGGAAATGTCCTGCCTGCAGCTGACATTGCACAGTTCAAGCAAGGAGTGAAATCAGTTGCTGGCAAGATGGCTGTCCTAGCCAATGGGGTGATGAACTCCCTCCAGGTGAGGTTACACTATGGCGCCTTCAGACAGGCTATGATCCTGCTCAGGGACTTTCACCATATCCTGGCTTCTGCTGGAATTACTGTTTTCTCAAATTATGTGGAAAGTCCTAGGCAGAGGCCTGTCTTCTGTACCTGATGGCTACACTACACTAGCTGAGCAATTCGAGGTGGCCAGGGAACTCTACTTGGCCAAACTTACTCTCCTGCTGGAACGCGACACCTTGTTATGTCAGATATGCCTTTTCCCACAAATCTTGGGCAGAACTTAAAAAGTTAAGGCCATTTTACTTTCTGCCTTTGCATGGTGTCCTGTCTAGGTAACCTCACACAGCATTCCAACCCCAAAAGCCCCAAAACCTTGTTATCTGTCTCTGGAGTTTGAATGAAGTGTTGTAGCATGGTGTCTTGGTGTGTTTTCTCTCCAGGATCGTTATGGCTCATATTGATGACCCAGGGACTGCAACTCACAGGGATGCCAGCAAGAGGCACTGATGCCACCTTTGCCTGGTGTGAACTCTGCAGGATTGTCTTAGTTTGTCTGGGGTGGGTGGGGAGGGGAGAAGGTAAGCAGAGGGGGTCAGGACATGGCTGTGCCCAGGATGCTTTCCAAATATCTCTGGATTCCACACTATTAAAATTCAATGTGCCCTCATACCCACTGCTATCTGCTAGCCAGTGGAGACAGGCCTTCTTACAGGGTTAACCTCATTGCTGTAAAAGATGTGACAGGAACTCCTGGGCTGTCTTCATTGGTGCTCCTGTCCTTCTTGGCCCATACCTTAGCTCACCAAGTGATGGGAATGCTGTTTTTCTGAACATCATGTTACCTGATTCCCATGGACGTGACTGTTTTTGGTTTGGGTTTTTTTTTTTTTTGTTCTGCTCAGTGCTCCCGATCCATGGTGCTGTGGAGCCCTCTCTATTTGCAGGGTCTGACTTCTACCATGGGATAATCTTTTGTACTGTCTTGTAAACCAGCATATATTGGTTCAGGAGAAAAAAATCAACAAAGTGAAGATTATTTTTTTAGCTTCTACGTAATCATCAGCAAAAAAGGCCCAGGTAAAGAAGTACTGAAAAGATATTTACTGGATCCATGGTTCTTTTGTTGCCCAGCTTTGGACTGAGATCAAAGTCCTGAACCTCTGTCTCCCCATGAGCTAGACTCCTAAGTGCAGCAGTGAGTGAGGACTGTCGTTTTCATCCTGTTCAATGTGGCTTGCCGCTCCTAACACTGGTTTTAACAAGAGCATGTTTTTCTCTTGGACTATGGCCTTGAGGACTGGGTAGTAAGAAGAAGGGAGGAAAGGGGCTAGTTCCACCCTATTAGCAAAAAGAGGCTGGGGCTGTTTGTTCTGAAGTTTGTGTCAGCAGCCCTCTCTCTGGGGCGTCACCTCTGCTTTCCTGCTCGAGGGGCTGTGGTACTTGTAGGGCTGGGGGCGGGAGGGGAAGGGTTGCTCTGCCGCTGCGCTGGGGCAGGAAGGGGGTAAGGGTCGAGCGTTCCTGGGGCATCGTCC